TGCAATCTCATTTGATTTGGACTAAATTATAGATCTACTTAAAGGTACACTGAAAGTGCACATATGATTGAACAATTCTAGAAATAGTTTTAATATCTTCATACTTACCACTGCAAAATCGCTTAGATTTGTTCCCAGAACCCAATGCATCAGCATTAAAAAATTTTCACTTTTAAGTATAGTGGATAAGGTAGATTTGGCAGTTCCATACTTTTCAGGAATTGTACTTTTCTTAAATACACCATGGTCTACTTTCTCTAGGACTTTGAATTTTGTTTGCAGATCTATGCCTGTCTTCTTCCTCTTGGCCATGAATTAGTCTCTTACTGCTTACAATTTAATGTTAGCTACTAGACTACGGTCTACAAGCTCTGTCAAACAGTGCTGCTAGAACTTTCAGAGAATTAAGAATATGGGTGTGTGCTGAAAATTTGTATGTAACTAAACTACAGTCCAGTAAATTTAATGTAAATATTTGATTGTAAATGCTATTTATTTGAATTTTAACTGGTATTATTCATTTAGTATGCTGCATCATACTGACTTTCAGGAAGAGAAGATACTAATTCAACCCATTATATTGGAAGAAGACAGGTAAGTAATTTTACCTGATTAATACAGAATTATCCAAGATTTAACATTAGCTGTACTAGCTGAATTTTAAAGAATAAAAAAGCACATCTGAACACAGAATTACATTTGTTGATTGAAGCTCATTGTTGATGTGATGATCAAGATTGTTGAACAATATTATTCACAGTGGCTATGCTTCAAAGAATATAGTGTATTATGTGAGGTTTTCAATTAAATGGGCTAGAACATTTCTGAATACAGTCCAAACAGAGAAACAACAGGAATAAAATATAAAAAATTTTAAAAGTTTCTGTTAAATGATAAAATATAATGAAGCAACAGACTAAAAAACAGTTCATAATTTATGCTAACCAAAATTCGCATTAAACTTCCTATAAGATCATATACATCGCTGCCAGGACCAAAATTTGCTCATGTTAACTGAGTGTTCACCTTAAGTGAGTTTGTGTAAGTGGGAGGTTACTGTAATGTAAAATATTTTAAAAAAATTTACTCCTTTGAACAAGTATTTTTTGCACTTAGTTATTCTAATCTCTTCCAAAACATTAATTTGGAAACATCATTAAAAAATGGAATAGTATGTGATTTTAATCAATTAAAAAAAATCCACGGATTTAAATTATGGATTTTAATCATAATTTGATCATATGATTAAAATCGCTGTCATCCTAACTTGAAACAATTTATATAAATGACTTACCAATTTAAATTTTATCTTAGGCTTGCTAGACTTAATCCAGCACTATCTCTTCTAATCATTAAATAACCAGTGTTTTAAGAGAAAATTTCAGAAACATAAAAGTGAAATATAAAAAACATCAAGTTTATGACTTCCAAACAAAAACACTGATTAAAATTTTATTCACGAAATTACTTTCATAACAATAAAACTGCTTTAGTGCATATTATGCATTTTCTTTATAGATGCAAATTAATTCCATTAAATATTAAATATACTACAATAGTGTTTTTCGACCTGTGGTCCTCGAAACCTGTCCTTATGGCTCTTCTAGATTTCTAAAAAAGATAAATAAATTAACCTCATGTACCACATAGCTGATAATACGAGCTTGGAAATTACACATGGCAATCATTTATTATGTTTTCTACAAAGACTGATATTTTATGAAATTTATTACTGGTTACTCTTCCTAAACAGTTCCCAGTCTAGTCTAAGAAACAAAGAAAGATTTAAAGCAGTATGACTTTGGTGCTTCTTACCAGCACACATCCAAACATAAGACAGCTATTGAAGAATCGGCAGGCTCAACATCTCATTTGTGAGAACCAATATTTATTTAATTTTCAATAATAAGATAAAAATTATCCACAATCTAAGAATATAAAGTCTTGAATTATTCTAAATAAATATAATTTTTTAGTAATTACATATTAGCACAATCACCTCGGTAGGAGCCGCAAAATTTTCAGAATATGCCAAACTCTGGCATTCATGCACATAACAGTTCTTCAGGCAATCAGGCATATAATAACTCTTCAGTTTTAGCAATCAATGTTGTCATTTTAGCATGCGTTCTTTTTGTTATATTCATGGATTTTATTGAAAATTAATGATATAGTTTGTCTTGAACTCTATTTTAAAACATGCTGTTGTGAGATCTGCCTGGCAGCGACAGAAATCGAGGTACAATTTGCAGTAACACAGTATGCAAGAAAATAGTACTTTTTTCTTTGCTGCAACAGAGAACAAGTGCTTTGAAACTTTTTTTAAATGATCGCTATGAAATTTCAACCAAAACAAAAGTTTGCATGTAAGTATGTATATTATGCAATTTTTAGGTAACTTTTAATATAGTATATAATAATTGTTTTTTAAAATCATACATCATCATTCTTTTTTTTTTTTTTTTACGGAAAATACTTCCAAACTATGTCAAGGTGGTTGCACTTATATGTAAGTACCAATATTTCTTCTATTAACTTAATTACTTAATAACAATCTAGGTATAATCCTAGTACAGTCAAAAGTCGTTAATTCGGACACCCATAATTCGGAATGATCTATAATCCGGACCTCAAAACTAAAAACTTTCTGCGCATGCGCAGCGTTGACACATGCGCATAGGCGTTTACGCGTGCGCGTAAGACCTTTTATGGCTGCGCATATGAGTGTGCGCAAGTGCAGAATACGTTTTCGCATGCGTGTTTTATGTATAATGGACGTATAAGCTAAAATTATCTAATTATCTATTTCAGTTAATGTTGATGATTGCGTTGTTCCTTAATTTTCGAATTGGATCCGGCTTATTATTTTTTGCAGATTGTAAGAGCAATTTTATAAAAGTAAGCTTAAACTTTCGATTATATCAAAGAGAATTTCCGATATATATTTGTTAATACGTAAAGGATCTAAAGCGAAAGTATGTTTTGAAATCCGAAATCTGTTTATCAATTTCACACTGCTCAGCGGGGGGAACGCCGCGACAGGCGTGTAATGAATTGGAAGTTGATCTGTCAGCACTATCCTTATCTTCAGCGCAGATGTTTTTATTTTATTTGGCTTATAATTCCTTACCAAATGTAGTATTTCATCTCGATATGCTCCGTCTTTGATATGATTTAAAACAAGTTCCTCGTCATTATAATTCGCTTCCGATAGCGAAGAAAAGTAACAGAGGTTATTGAAAACGAAAAAATTTCGATTGACAAATTAGTCGGTGTTCTCGACACAGCAATTATAGGACTTGATCAGCAGAACTTTGTAACTGAACAAGAAATTATGTCTGTTTAATAGAATTAAAGAGAAAGTATTATCACATGAAATGAAGCAAAACTTAAACAACTTGCATTGAAAGAAATGTTTAATAAAGTAAACAAATAAATATTAAGCTTTTTCTTTTTGCAAATTTTGATACCCTTTAGATCATAATTGTTCTTTATTTCATAAATTACGGTTTCATATTTTTAATTTTAGAATTTCTGCATGCCATCTTACCAGATTTAAACTGATGATCTATAATCCGGAATCGCCGAAGTCCCGACGAGTCCGGATTAACGACTTTTGACTGTATACGATACATACAGGATTTGGATTGGATTGGATTGGATTGGATTATTGTAATTTGGCACAAAACCTGTCAATACGTGATTTGGTGACATGATGATCGGCAGTAAACGAGTCATTTTGGTGTTGGCGACAATTTTCAAAATCACATCAAGGCTATACTGGGTACTAAGATTTTACCCCAATCCAAAATTAAATGAATTTTAATTTACTGTATTTTTTTTTAAAAAAAGTATTCTGGCAATAATACATGCTAAAGAAACTGCTTGCAAAGGTGACAAGAGTAATGGGTATTTTTCCATTTTGCCCGCACAAACGATAAAGTTGCCAATAATGGTACAACGGATGCCAAACGGAATATCTTCGCTGGTAACCCTTTACACCTCATTTTCAAAACAAGTCACAGCCATTTCTTACCAGATTGATTGTTTTTCTCAATACTGGCATACAATTACATAGAATTTTTACCAGATAGTTCAATTTTATGTCCTAAGGCCATTTGCGGTAACTAAGTCAATCACACGGCTCACCCGAAGGCGAATATATAGAAAAGGCAAAGTCAAGAGTTAAATTCATTAATTCTAATGAGAATGCACTAGCAAAGTAAAGCACTGCGGTTGTACATAATTTTCTGAGTAAGCTATTTGTACGAATTCAAATAATTCTTACATTTAAACTTATATTCCAAATTAAAATTTAACTTGATATTACTCTGTGATATGTAGATAATTACCGAGAGAATTATATTTTTTTAGCGTTGTTTACGTGAGATGAGATCACTTGGGGTCGAGATACGAACCAGCGAATCAGGATGTTGAACCATGATAGCATAGTAAATTCTTAAATTAATATCTTTTTACAAAATTTTAAACCATATTAAAAAGGTTTATGCCTTCAAAATAAAAAATTCGTAGAACTAACATTTGTTAACATTTTTTATGTGTATACTGTATGTTGTCGCCAACAAAGTCTGCTTGGCGAGATTTGTGCGAGTAATGATAATATCCGCAGAACATTTTAATTATAAAAGTGGACCTCACTTAAAAAAAGTTTGTGAAACGTTTTGCAATAAGAACTATTAATATGAATAGTGTACAGTCGTTTTATAGCTCATTATTTTCTGAAAATTTTTTACCATTCATCAATGGGTGAAAAGTAAAATCTTCACAAATATAATGAGCCGAGAAATAGTTATAACAGAATTTTCGATAGTTTTCAGATATTTAGTATAACAAAATTTAAAATGTATAATGAATTTCAGAACATTTTAGAGACATGTCATATCAAAAGTTTCAGTCCAGTTAGTTACAAAACAAATAACATTAAAATAAATCCAAACATTATTATGAAACAATAAAAATGATTCACTCGAATTCCATACCTTTTCTAAATATGGATCAAAAGCAGGCACTGATTTGGCGTATTTTTTTGAAGCTTCTATAGATTGCTTTTGATCATCACTAAACAAACCTTGATTCATTGCCAAATAAATTGTACCACCACCCAAGCCTAATTTCAGCAAAGGCCTGCAAAATATATATATATATATATATATATAAAACATTTATAATAACTACCGAAAATTTATAATACATCAACTTTCACTGCATAAGAACTGAAAATTTATACTTCAACTTTAATAAGAACTAAAAATACATAAAGCCGGTGCAGAAAATATAAAAAGCATATGCGAAATAAAAGGAAAATTTTCCGGTGTATAAAAGCACAAAACTATTAAATCGAATGAAGAAAATATACCTCCGAGTAACTTACGATATAATTCTCATCACGGAATATATAGTATTTACTTTTATAAATATTTACAATATCTCCCTATCGACCTTCCTACGGCAGTTGTAGTGTTAATTTTCCCAGTTCACGGCTTCAGTTTTTATTCCCTTTTTCCGGATAATCTAAGACTTACAATTTATTTTGAGGATTTCAAAAATAAATGCAAATGATTAAGTAGAAGAAATGTGTTCACAGAGTAATACGAAACAACACATTTTTTTATATTTTAACTAACTAAAGAGTTTAACAAAAAACATAAGTTTCCTCAATATATTTAATTAATTTTACATAAATTAACCGTGTTAGTTTTAAAATTGCAGTGACAGAATAATACTTTTGACTGAGTTTTATCGCATATTATCCATTTTTCTAAAAAATAATATATTTCTGTTATTTCTGTTAAGTGGCAGTATTTGAAAAATGAGTGATATGCAAATCACTGAAAAGGGTTTCACATTGCAGCCGACTCAACATCGTGAGTGAGTCCGGCTATGTTGTGAAATGTAGAGTCAATTGTAAATGAATTCATTGTCCTTAATAGTACCGTAAAAGAATAGGTTTTCAACCGGTTTGTTGAAGTCTTGGGCACGCTTTCAAAAAACTAGTCCATCGGCCCACACAAACAATTGAAATGTATATCTGAATAGGAGTTACTGTTGTCTGTATGTGTTGTTAAAATCTCTGATACTCAGCAGTATGTTTTTAAATCAGTAACAACTGTATTATATTACTGATCTGAAATCTGAGCTATATGTTATCTATTTACATGCAAGCAGAAATGTGCAAGGCGCTCAGTATGAAAGTACTGCTTTAATCATCTGACATTAATTCCTGATGTCAACTTCCGAGCTTTATTCCAAGGTAAGTTACTTCGATTAGTTTCTTCCGATTTGTATGCTAATCACGATTTGCTTTAAATGTATCGAATACTTCTGAGCTTTTTCAGCTTGGTGTTTACATTTTTTTTTTTTTTGTGTGCCGAACATGTGACTTTTTTTCACGTGATGAATCTTATATTTGGAATCGTATGTCGATTAAACTAGCGTTTAATTCCTCTGAATTATTATTTAATAAGTAACTTAAAATTGAAAATCATGTTTAATTGTCGAACTTGACGGATAAGAATCATGTTTAATGGTCGAACTTGATGGTTAAGTTACATTTAAATAATGACTAATCCGGTATTCTTTGATGTTTATACTCTGTTCAAAATGATTACATAACTTGGATAACTTGTGTTTTGCTCCGATGAAACTCGTAGATTCTGTCAGTGATGTTTTTCATTAATTATTTCGTTTAATATTTGTAAAGAATTGAAGCAGCTCATCGGATAAAAAACTTTGAGCATTGTACGGAGTAGAATTTCCTTTCTGATAGTGTGCTGAGAGACATCCCTATTGCTGATGGATGTGGTTGGTATTTTGCTATGTTATCGCTGATTAGATGTTAATGTAATTCAACTTGTATTTCATAACTATGGGATTCACAAAAGATAATGTTAACTATCTTATTTTTATTGTGAGGGGATATAGTGCTTGAATTTCTTTGTGTTTGATTTGGTATTTGAAATAAACTAATATGGTATTTTCAGTGCTTTTAATTTTGCATAACATATTAAAATATATCAATCAGCATATTTAAGGCTGTGAGTGCAGTTTGTTAATAGCAATAGTTTAAATTTTCTTTGAAGTCCATAATAATTATTCATGTTTAAGTTATATTCATATTTATTTAATTGTCATAAAATACTATTCTAATGTTTTATTATTTCAAACTTTTTTAAATTACAAATTATTTTCTGGATTTAATGATAAATATTTATTAATGCATGACATACGAGATCTTATTCAGTGTATTTAATTATTAGGTATTTAAATATTGTATTCAAATTAAATAATTTGCATTTCAAATCTTGGCTGTAAGAATCTTAGAGAAATGTTTTCCTGTGCTGTAAATCCTTGCATATATTGAGATTAAACAAAAAGAAATATTGAATTTACTTTTGTAGATCAAGTAATACTATATAATCAAAATTATTGTATAAAATAAGGTTTAGAAATCTGTGTGGTGTAAAATACTTGTAAAAGTAATTTTTCACATCTGTAGAAATATTGAGCATCAAAAATCTCTGGAAGGAAAATAATTTATGAATATATTTAGGAAGTTATTTGACAGCTAGCATATCTAGTAACATGTAATGAAAAAATATTAATTATGCTTAAAATGAGACTTAAGGGCCTGGTGGCGCAGTGGCTAGCACATCGTGCAGCAGCGCCACAAGTTCGGGGTACGTTTCCTGATCTGGGTGAGGTCGACTCAGCCTTTCATCCCTTGATTTCCATCCCTTGGGTCGATAAAATGAGTACAAAGTTCGCTTGGGGACTAAACACTGGGGATCCTGTGACAAGCTGACCACTTGTTCAGGACATATGCTTACGCACCCCATAGCCCACGGTCAAGAAAGCAGATTTCGGGGCACTGCTGGCCTTTGCCCACTAGGGTTGTTGTGCCACTGAGAGTAGTTTTTTTCAGTTTAAAATGAGACTTTATAAATTATGCAAATTTGTTTTTGCTTTAACTGAATATTCTTGTTAATAGCACAGTCAGAATTGTAGACTTTAAGTAGACTTTAAGGTACCACTTGTATTATGGCGAAGTTGTTGTTTCATTTATTGCCAAGAGTTTTTGTTTCATTTATGGTAGCCTGAGTAGTTGAATGTTATGGAAACCCTATTGTGATGTAATCGAGTGCATGATTCTGGGAAATTTTGAATCATGGGATGTTTTGTAAGCGCTTTAGTGGTGTGTGTTGGTTTTATTGTTTAGACAGTAGCATGGCTGAATGTAGTAAAATTAATTTGAAGTTTTTGTACGATTTGGAACAAAAGGGGTGTTAATTGACTGCTGTGTAAATGAAGGTTTACTTAGTAGCCCTTATAAGTGTTCTGTATGTAGGAAGGATATGCATCTAGTCGAACATAAAAACCGTTTAGATAGATTTGAATGTGTTTGTAGGAAAAAAGATTCGGAACTACTCTGATATGCGCCCTCAAGTCGCCAAATATTTTTGGCGAGAAACTTCACGCTGCCATATTACTATCTAAATTTTTTGTCTACATTTTGAACTTTTAGCTTAAAATGTCTCCAAAAACGCTGTTTTCACACATACAAAAACTACGTTTGGAACACACAATTTAGCTAAAATCCGAAACAAAAACAAAAAATTTAGATAGAAAAAACGTAAAGTTTCTAACCAAAAATATTTGACAAGAATCCATGTACACAGTGACATGTTTTAACTTAAAAAAAAAAAAAACTAAATTGCACAATGTAGGCAACGAACGAATCTACAAACTACGCAGACTTCGCTTTAATAAATTAACATAACAACAATAAATTTCATAGAATACCACGTACACAGCATCCTGTTTAAACTTAAAAAAAATTCTACGAATTGCACAATTTAGGCGAGGAAGGAATCTACGATCTACGCATTCCTCGCTTTAATAAAATAACATAACAACAATAAATTTCAAATAATACCATGTACACAGCGTTCTGTTTCAACTTTAAAAAACATCTACGGATTGTACAGTCTAGACACTAAACAACAAATAAACTAAAATAAATTTCAAACAATTTAAAAAAACAACAATAACGACAAGAAATCATACTAAAGAACCAATGAACATAACAGTCTACAAAATAAGAACAAGGATAAAATAAAATGCACTTACCATGAATTAATGCGTTTTCGAATAGCAGAAATATAAATTTCTTACTGCCTTTAACATGCCGCCACGTAATCACTATTGTATTTACATGACAGCCAGACACACTATCCAGAAAATTTAACTATGGTTCACAATAAATAAATCACAAATCCCTACTTCTATCATGCACTGCCATTAAAAATAATCTCCAGACCCTCTTTCCACAATTCCAAATACCCACTACCCTTCAACAGGATAGCTACAATCATATTTCCTTTTGCCGAACTTCAATTCAACAACTACCATTTTATCTTTCCCTCCCATCTTCTCAGACACAGAGGCGAACCAACGAGCTCCAGCGAAAGATTTTTCAACGTCAACAGGGTTGCCATAGAACACGCAATCGTGCCAAAAACCAGCGCAGAACACATATCGCTACATTTGGTGAAATTAGGGCGTATATTAGAGTTGTACCAAAGATTCATATGTGGCGATGCCGATATACGAATTCGAGTTCAGATAATTTTAGGAAGTTTTTGGATGCTATTAAGGAAATTTGTATGCCACAGACTAAAGACGAAGGAACTTCTAAGTAGGGTAAGTGGATATTTGCTTTTTGTAGTGCTTAAATGTATAACATGTTTTTCCTTTTTTATATTATTTTATTGTTTGGTTTAAAATGTAGTTTATTGAGATTATGTATTTTTTGTTTGCCTGTGTTGAATTGGGTGCTCCTTTGACTTTTTAAGTGAAAATATATCGATGTGTACATGGACAAAGTGAAGGGAGTGTGCAATGCAAGTTTGTGCAATTCTTAGATTTTTTTAAGTGAAAATAGATTGACGTTTATATGGATAAAGTCAAGGGAGTGCGCAATGCTATTTTTGTGCAATTCGAGGATTTATTTTAAAGTGAAAATAGGTCAATGTGTACATGGATACAGAGTTGTGCAGTTCTTTGTCTTGACATTTTGGCTATGCATAGTAGCGATTATTGGTGCAAAAATTGCCGTTAATGTAAGCCAAAATAATAAGTAAAAGAATTGCACAAACTCAGTATCCATGTACCCCCAAAAATTGCCAAGTTTCGCCAAGGGGTACCCTAAAATATACTTTTACCTCAGAAACATGTTACATGCAATTTTTCAACTATGTGTTAGGGGTCATAATTTATTGAATACTTAGAGCATTGCAACTGTATTATAAGTCTGTTCTATTTCTTGCAAACAACTGATAAAATTCTAGTTCAAACCTGATATTAAATTACAACAATAATATTAAATCTGTTATTCATAAATTGAAAATATATAGAATTTTTTCATCTGAATATTATACATTGTCGGTTGATCTTTACCGTACGATACTCCTTGGGTTTTGTGTGAAAAAAATTGCCAAGTGGTATTGGTTGTTCGTAAAATTTGGAAGCCCGCTGCATGAAATAGATTTTTCGGTAACCCTAATGTTGATAATGTTGGCAAAACTAGCCTTGGAGAATTTTTTTTTTTTTTTAGTTTTTGTCTTTAAAAAGGGGTTATGTCTGCAAATATCATCAAACATGTTGTGATAAATTTAGATTTTGGCTATTTTGTGTAATATTAGCCCTTTCATATGGACCTGGGTTTTTTGTTCTTACCATTCTTTTCAATTGCTGTGTTTGGTTGTACACGCATGGTATGGTCTTGGATTTTGAACTTGCTATTATTTTTCTATGTGTACCATCATTTTAGTATGAGGATGAATGTTGATTAGCAGTGGATGAGCCGAAACGAAGAAAAATTTAATTGTTTGTGTGGAGGATGGAGGGTGGGAAGCGTGAACATATGCACGTGAAAAAAAAAGGTGTCTTAAAAAATTGACGTTTCATTATTTATTCTCTGTGTGTTAATTTTTGTTGAAAAATATGTTGTTTAATGTTTTTATGTTAGGAAATATGTATTTTTGGTTATTTATTCCTCTATGTTTGTGTATTTTTGGTTATTTATACGAACTCTGCAAATTTTTTCAGCTAAGACAGCTGCGAATTTTTTCTGGTTAGCTAACTTTGTTTTAGCTTCCTCATTTTCTTTAAGTAAAATAGATCAATGTTATTTACAAAGTTAAGGCAGTGCCCAATTCCTAATTTGTGCAGTTCTCTGATGTTTTTTAAAAT